CTATCAAAGGGGAAGGAATTGTTTGAGTTATCTTTACTTTAAAAAAGAAAAAAAAAAAAAGAGAACACCCTAGTAAAATGAGACCACCTCAATATATTGAATTGAAACGGTGTGTCATTTGCGCACAAAAAAAAAAGGGTACTTATACTTTTGATTTCTAAGTTTTGAGTTTGGTTTCTATTTAGTCCCAAAACTTGGAGAATAATTTTAAATAGTTCTTGTACTACTTAATCACTAGTTAACCTATTGGAAAGATTCTGGGGCAGTTAAGTTGGCTAATTAGATTATGTCATGCTCAGCTTGCTGCGAGTTGGGATAACGAGCTCAACAATTCAATCAACAAAAAAAGAAATGATATGTTAACATAATTCAATCAACAACTTAACCGTCATATGATTTTTTTTCATTTGGTCAATAGTATTCTTTATCTACAACACTATTAGGAATTACAGCCTATCAACTTGTGACGAATTCATGAGGGTCAACTTTCTCACGACACCTTTACAAACTGATTTAGCACAAAATAATATAATATCCAGAAAACAGTACAGAAAGCAACACAAAAGAAAGAAACACACATAACTTCTCTCAACTTCCTATTCAAACATTCAACTCAAATAACCAACTACAACTAAACCTTCTAATCTACGTTCGGAACTAAAGTCCCCTGTTACCTTTTCTTAGAATCGTGATTGGAGGTCTAACAGTCAACTATCAGTAAAATTGGACTTTTTAGTACTAATTTTTGAATTTTAGGGACTAAACTGTTAATTTTAAAACCTCTAGGATTAAATAGAAACCAGACCGAAACTCATTGACCAAAAGTGTAATTTGTCCCAAAAAAAAATTACCTTTGAGTTACTTGTTCAAACAGGGAGTATTTGTTTTTTTAATTTTTAATGAGAAACCAATTTCATTATAGAATGAAATAACAAAAAGGGGGAGGATAACCCAAAAATCACGTGCAAGGTCAGTTTGCACATGGAGAAGATAGGCTGTAAGTACTGAAAGGAGCTTAAAATTTACTCCAAGAGAGACTAATAAGGTGATTGAAGAACTTCCAAAAGGATTTGGATTTCTTGTTGAAGACTATCATTTCTCAAGCCTTAGACACTCGGCTGCAACCCTACCAAGATAAGTTAAGCTGGAGAATTTCCTTCTTTGAAAACGGATGGGGTTCAAGGTGCAGAGATTAGGCTTCTTGCTTCTGGATCTGTTTAGGTGGACAGTGTACCAACTGAAACGTTGCAAAAGGCGATTCCAAAGTGGAGCCCAAGGAATAGTCACGAAAGATAAGGTCCTACCATAAACCACGATTGCATTTCTCGGACTCCAAGAGTGGGGTTACTTATTTTTAAATACTCAAACCACATTATTATTTTTCTAGGGAAAAATAAGACTCCAATATATGGATGACGATACCAGCTAAGGAGGCCATGGAAATGAAGTCTGGACAGTTAAATTGATGCATATGTTGTAGCCTTAGGTTAGGGTAGGGCAATTGCTTTTATTTTTAAATTTTGATAGGAGAGGATGTTTTCCCAGTTTTCAGTTATACTATTTTCTATGATGCTACTAATATATTTGAAATGAATTTATGAATATTTAAGTCCATGGCAATGTTTAAAGCGAACTGTTTAAAAGAAAAAGTATTCTTTAATACCATCTTGCATTGTTATTATCCTGTCCTAAGTTCATCCCCCTTTGATACTTGATGCCTCCAAGAACTAAAGTCCTTTCAAAGACCTTAATCCCCTTATAAGACCCTTTTTCAAACCACCCTTAGCATAATTTGGCCTATTGGTAATAGCAAGTTAGAGGAAATAGGTTTAAACTATTGTGGTCACATACCTAAGATTTAATATTCTAAATGGAGTATATGGAGTAGGATCATGTGGTTGTCATCTAAGCATTGTTGTGGTGCACGCAAGCTAGCCTAAATACTCACAAAGGTATATCAACACTTCTAGAAAATGGGGGAGCGATAGCTTTTCTGGCAGTTATGTTTTTCTTTAAATGATATTTAAAAGAAAAAGTTCCGGAATTGTATGGTGCCTGGTAAATATGACCATCCACTGTCCAAAGTCTTAAGAGATTTGGAGTCAAGGTTCCTGGCTTAACTGAAATGGCCTATCACTGTTCGTCCTCTCTATCGGTAGATTTCTCCTCATATTATACATGCTCCAAATCCCAAGATCTCATCCCAGCAAGCCTGAACACTCCTAATCGTGTTCACGGACACAGCAAACACTTTGAGGAGAACAGAACACACTAGGGAAGCATTTACGAAATAGAATTTGGATGTAGAAAAGGACTGAAGGTAATGGTGCTGATAAAATTTTTGGGTCACATATTGAAAAGTCTTGCTCAACTTACATCAGAGGATTGAACGTGCATTAAGGTATCCGAAGTCAATTATGCAAGGATATACTTCTGTAAAAAACCACGACACCTCCTTGGCCTTTTCAATGTAGTTTGTAGATCTGTTTAATGCCAAGAAGTTTCTAAATTTTCACTGCAAGTTGAAGTAATGTTAAAAAAAAAAAAAAAAGTGTCTTGAGTTGTAAGTCTGATCTCTACTGTCAGTTCCTGAAAATTTAATTCTCTTGAGAACCAACCAATGAAACCATGTCCAGCCAATAACTTCATCTTCCTATTTATTGTTATATTATTATTTTCTCGTGTTCATAATATATAATTACTATCTTACATAGCACAAATTCAACTATGAGTGTAGGTACCATTCCTGCTAAACTTATCTTACAACTCACAACCGCTTTTCGAGAGGGTGGTTTGCGAGACAGAAGTAATACATTTTATTACAAGGACCATTTACATAAATGCCATGTCCCAATCTTAGCGCTTGCTGGAGACCAAGATCTAATCTGTCCACCTGTAGCTGTAGAAGGTACATTCATTGTGTTCATGTGGAATATAACTACCTTTTCCATCTTACTTATATTGATTTAATTGAAGCAGAAACAGCAAAGCTTATTCCCGAGCACCTTGTTTCCTATAAATGTTTTGGAGAACCGGGAGGTCCACATTATGCACATTATGATTTAGTTGGAGGACGCCTGGTATTATTTTCTTCCCTTCCGCCGTCTATTCACTATCATGGACTTTTCATAGTAGATTCGAGTTATATTTAATGGGAAAATTTTTTATTTTGTTTTCCAAATCTATTTGATGTTGCCATGATTGAATTCCTCCAAAATATGCAGGCAGCGGAGCAGGTGTATCCATGTATTATCGATTTTATTAGCAAGCATGATGCAGTTTGATTATCCGCATCTCAATAAATTTTGTTTTTGCATGATTCATTCAAATGTAACACATCCTAGTCGATGTTGGTTACCGTTCATACATGCCTGGGGATCGAAATTTCCTTGCAGAACGTATAAATTTTGGTTGATTGAGATCCACATGCAGAGAGGGTTATGGAGACTTGAGGACTCCTTGTTCGTGCAAGCTTCATTAACCAACGCTGAATCAAGATCTCCTTGTTCTGGTTTCAACGAAAATTATCCTGGAAAAGGTCAAGATAATCAATATGTACGAGTTCCGGATCACACAAAATAACATGAGATATGTATATATATATATATATATATAAATGCTTGGAGAACTTGAACTCTTTTCAGCGTTTACACATCACTAGAATTTGTAGATTACTATGATTTTCTTTGAAGGACCCTGAGTTGGTTCAGTAGTCAAAGGAATACGTTGCAAATTCAAGTATCTTTGAGGTAATTAGCTCAGAACCAAATGGAGTTTGATGGGCCGATTTAGACTATTATGAAATAGACTAGTTTTTTTTTTCTTTTTTTTTTTTCTCTTTTTCTCATTCTTCGTATCAGGACTGTTTTCTTGTGCTTAAAAAGCCCATATCTTCCCGACTTTTTTTTTTATTTTTTTTTAATTAGTATTACTATTCTTTCAATTATATAAATGTTTCAACTCGATGCTGTGATAACTTAGCATTAACATGATTAACGTTTGATTTGATTAGATCTAAAAGATCGACATTCTATCAGGTTGATTTTTTGTCTACGTTCTAACATATTTTTTACTCTACTTTAGGAATACTTATATTCTTTTTTTAATATAATACATTTCTTCCTCAGAAAACACACAAGAAAGTATTTTTTTAAGAAATGGAGAGAATAAAGGTGAGAGGAGGAGGCAGAAGAGGACACAAAAATGGACAAAGTTGAGGTGTGTTGTTTGGTTTGGCATCTTTTAGGAAAAAGATGTGTCGTTTCAGACATTATCCCATAATGTCCAAAACATAATACAAAAACTCACATAATATTTGCTCTTCTTCTCCTTTTCTCATTGTCTTCAATCATGATGCCTATAATTCACTATTCCCATATTTGTTTTTACTTTTTCTTTTTTGAAATTCATTTTGTCATTTCCGGTCACTCACGGATGATGAATTGTTGATTTGAACTATCAATGACGGTTCATAATTAATTTAAAATAATCTTTAGTTCGAATTTTCAAGTCTCAAGTTGTCTCGTTGTTGCTAGGTTAAGTTTCGTTAACTTGAACATAGTTCAATTGATTAAGACAAATATTATGACCAAAAGAATTAAAGGTTTGAATCTCTACCTTACAATATGTAAGGTAAAGTTTTCGTCTTCAATTATTTTCATCAATGAAAGTATAAAAATCTTCCAATCCAAGCTACGAGACCAGTTCTATCTCAATTAGTGTCTAGAGGTCTTTAAATGATGCTCTGATTTCTATGTAGCCAATAAAGTTGGAACAATAAACTTTAATCATGTCATTTTGGATTAGAGATTTTCTAAAGAAGTAGCAACGGTTCTTTACAACTTATTAAATTGATGCATCAATAGTTGATATCCATTCGAGTTATTTATGGAAAAGCCCATACGGGCATAATTAGCTTAAAATATTAAATTGTAACATTGTATCATTACTTCCATTACTTATTATAATAAAAGAATATTTAGCATAACAATAAAGTAAGATGGAGCAAATAATAGAGAAATGTCTTTATTGAATGAGAGCATGAGGATGCCAAAGGTCTGCAAAAAGAGCAAGAAGAAGAAGACAACTTCCCACCATAATCTAAACATTTTTTTAATGAAACCTATAAAAAAAAGCATGCTCTTAGGGCAGACCACACAGCTAACAAAACACAACAATCTTAAAAACATCAAAATAAAGTCATTACTATCTTTATCCTGTCGTCTTAACCAATACACAAACTTTCATCTCTATTAGAACGGCTCGGATTTTTAATTCCTCGGTTCAAACGATACCCTTTCGAGCGCGTCCGAGATGTGTCTCATGGAAGGTCTCCTTTCAGGGCTTCCATGAACACAAGCCATTGCAAGTTTTAGTACCGAGACGATCTCTTCTTCGTTATCTACATCTCGAACTAGAAATGGATCAATGACTTCTGAAATTGGTTTTTGTTCTTCAATGCAGAGTTGGATCCAATGAACAAGATCCATTTCAGAGGAAGAACTCACTTGGATTAGTGGGAATCTTCCAATGATCATTTCAAGTAAGATCACACCATATGAGTAAACATCCCATTTTTGAGATGGTTTCAAGACTTTGAGTGATTCAGGAGCTTGATAATAAGTTCCAGTGTTGGAAGATGAACTGCAAATGATCTCAGACGTTACGGTTTTCGATGGCTTTGGATCTAACGGTTTATTTGATGCCATTCGATTCGATTGTACGGTCGGGGTTACTCCAGCTATGTTGGCAAGTCGAGCTAGGCCAAAGTCCGAAACTTTGGCTTCCATGTTCTCACTGAGAAGTATGTTGTTGGGCTTCAAATCTCCATGAACATACTTCTTGGGGCTGAATTCATGGAGATAAACCATTCCTTTAGCAATTCCTTTCATGATCTTTAGCCTTACAGACCAAGATAACGGCGTGAAAGCTTCCATTTCTCGCTTTCCTGTCGATATTTTAAATAATATGGAACAAACAAGCATATAAGTGTTACGATCGTACAACAACGCATACACTCGATCTAAATGAACACAAAGAATATAAAAGAGAAAATGTAATGAGAAATATTGGTTAAAGGTTTATATGGATGATTTCAGGTAACACAGTAATAAAGAATAAAGGCAGAAAGATAGATTTACCATATATATAACTTCACTACGATCATTCATTTATAATCTTTTGTGCACAAAAAGTTGTGAAAATTTTACCATGAATGGCAGTGGCCAGGTTTTGATTTGGCATGAACTCATAAATGAGCAGCTTCTCATCAACAGACCAGTAATAGGCTCTAAGAGTGACAAGATTAGGATGTCTTAGCTTTGCTATGGCTTCTACTTCTGTCTGAAACTCTTTGAGCCTTTGAGAACCGCCTTCACCTAATCGACGCACGGCCAATGTAACGCCGTTGTCGAGCACCACTTTATACATTATCCCAATCCCACTTTTGCTAAGAATGAATGCAGATGCCTTGAGAAGTTCATCAAGATCAAACTCAACTTGTTCATCCAATGCCACGAGATCGAGCTGCTCGACGTTCTGTGAAACCGTCTCGGATTCATCCTTCCTGAAACATAAACATTCTCTGCTGTTTCTTGGATTGAACAGTTTAGAATAACAATATGAGATCAATAACCCAACTAAACATATGCCAATCATATCACCAAGTACTATAGCAATCACAGCACTCTTACTTAATCCACTAGCCTTCTTAGCGTTTTCACCATAAGTCCTTGGGAGAAATGGCAGCAATGATGGTGAAGAACATGTGTTCTTCAATGGGGAACCACAGAGCCCAGGATTTTCAATAAAAGCAGTGGGTCCTCTGTTCATAAGAGCACCATTTTGGGGTATTGGACCATTCAAATTGTTGTGGCTGAGATCAATGTAAACCTTTTCTGGTAAGTTCCCAAGGCTAGAAGGGATTGAACCAGAAAAATGATTATGAGACAAGTCAAGAGTTCCTTGTAAGCTACCCAAACTCCCCAAATCATTAGGAACAGAACCATCGAAGCTGTTGAATGAAAGATCAAGTTTCTCCAAAGAACTCAAGCTAGTTCCAAACCCATGAGGCAGTGAACCAGTGAAGTTATTCTGACTAAGATCAAGGGTTTTAAGCCTCTTGCATTGAAGAATCGAAGTGGGTAAGGAGCCATTAAAGAAATTTTGAGATAAATCCAGAGTTTGAAGGAATTTAAGCTTACCAATCCCATTTGGAACAGACCCAGAAAAGGAATTCCCATAGAGAACCAAGCTTTGTAGGCGTTGAGCGGAAAAGAGCGGTGAAGGCAAGCTCCCAAACAGCCTATTGTTCCTGAAATTGACATGGCGGAGGCCAGCAAGAGCACCGAGAGAGGAAGGAAGAAACCCATATAGATTGTTCTTAGGAAACGTAAGAGAAACAACAATTTGGTGTATACAGCCAACGCCATTCCAAGAACAAGGGGTTTCATCAGAAGAATCCCAATCGGTCAAAGCCCCATGTGGGTCTTCGAAAATGGAGTGCTTAAATGACAAAAGCATAAACCCTTCATGATTCAAAGAACTTACAAGAAGACAATGAGAGGAGGAGCATAGAAGAAGGAGAAACAGAGCCACATTTTGGAACGAGAAACAGAGCATTTCCAAGCAACAACACTAACTTACAGTCTAACAAACTGAGGCTGCAAAAGGTGGAGAGGAAAAGAAATGAATAACAGAAAATGGAATTGGAAGCATGCAACCTCCACTTCCATGGTTTATCAAACTCCTCCATGCCACTCCATAATAGGAGGCTCGCTCCCATTTTCTTATGAAATCTTAGTCAATTTTTGTTAAGCTTTCGAGGAGCCTGGACTCCTTTTTCTTTTGGAATCTCTTTCATGGCTAAATTCAGAGCAAATGGCTAAGTTTAGGGCATGATTTTGACACCATATTAGATGAACACAACTCTCATAATGGTATGATATTGTCCACTCTAAATAGAAGTGCTCATATCTTTGATTTAGACTTCCACAAGAGACCTAATACTAATGAGATAGTATTATTTTATTATAAACTTATAATCCTTCCCTAAAATTAGAAAATTAGCATAAGTCTTTCATCCAACGGGAGAGAAATAAAGAATTCATGACTAACCAATACTTTTCTATCCCTATCAATTTATTTTTATTTAAACATCAATTTTACTGCTTTTTATTTATTTATTTTTGTACTTTAATAAATCTAAAAGTTAATCCGAATCATGATAAATTATTAATAATAAATTTTATTAAAAATAGAGAGATATAATAGAACCATATCAAAAAAATAATAATCGAAAATTTCCTTACTTTCAAATAAAATATTAGTTGTTTGATCTTCTTAAATTTTTTAATTTATTTTATTTTGGCATCTAAAATTCTAAAATTTTAAAATATTTATTTTTGTTGAAGAATTCTCATATTTATTAATCTCTTTTATGGTAAATATATAAATCCTTGACTTTAGTTTTTATTTTAAGAAATTAATAATATAATTTGAAATATATGTATTAATACAACGAGAATTAAATGAGTATTTTAAAGAATTTAAACACTAAAATATATAAATATTTAATAATTGGAGATTGTTTTTTATATACATTTTTAGATTAAATCGAAAGATTATCATAAATTTAGAGAAAAAAAAAAAAAAAAAGAGATGGTCCCAAAATGGATAAGTGAGAAAAGCAATGCAATATTAAATAATTAAATGGTAATTAATGATAATTAATGATGAGTGGCACCAACACACATACATCAACTCTTCCAATCTAAACCTAACAACCAACCACACACTTTACATACATTATCATAACCCTAATATCTTAATCATTTTCCCTTTACTCCCCTATTCAATATTTCAACATGGTCCCTATTCCTTTAACAATAATATTTCAATATATTCGGTTAATACGTTTGTATTTTTTTTTTTTTTTTTTTTTCAGGTCAACTCGACCAATNCAAAAATTGAGTTACAACCCAACCCTACTCTCTATCCTACTTTTAAGATTATTGTGAAGATTAAGAATATTTGATGTTTGTGACTGAGGTTAGTGATGTATTATGACGTGTAAATATTTGATATTTGAGTTTTATGAGATTTTAATTATTAATATAACATATATTTGTGAATAAGTATGGCTTTTTAAAATAATTAAAAAAAGAACTATCTGACACCCCAATCCAATCCAACCCAACCAACCAATTCGTGTACATCCTAACAGATTATTTTAACTAAATTAAAATATTTCAATTAGTTTTTAATTAATGTAAAATCAATTTGGAGAATTCTATTTTTTCTAAGAGGACTTGGGCATTCACATGTGATATAATGTAATATTTTTAAAAATAAATTAAAAATGTTTAATAATAGAGGCTAATTTAAAAAAAAAAAAAAAAACTTAAATATTAAGTACTATAATTTACGTATCTTATATTTATCTCTATTTAGCTTTTTTTATATTTCCTATAAGCAAATTACGAACAAAATTTTAAGTCAATTTAATTTTTAAACAAAAACAAACAAATAACGAGTTTTTCCCCCCTAATCTCGCGATATAATGAAGTGCGAGGTAAAGTACGATAAATTGGCACGTGAAGATAGTAGCCGTTAATTATTGGCCAAATACTCAAGAGCGGGGAGGGGCAAATCAGCAAATTTAGAATGGGTCAGTTACAAATTTAGAACTTTTGAAGTGACTTAACTGCAAAAAAAATAATAATAATAAAAAAAATAAAAATGAAAAAGAAAATTAGGTAGAGTAGTAGTAGCTGAGGGACAATAAATAATCGGAGGCTTTTTCAATTCCAATCATATTCCCAAAACGCCCTCAACTATTTTTCTATTTTAGAATAAAATATCATTTTAATTCTATACTCTCAATTTTATTAAAATTTTAAATTAGTTATTTGAAGTAAACTTTTATTAAAAATTAATTAAATAACCATCCTAATTTAAGTTAAACTATTTTTTTATTATTAACCGTTGACTATAAATTCAAGGTAGAGACCCTTTTTTAAGATTTATAAAAGATGTCCCGAACTAAATTTGAATATTGGAAAATACAATAGCTAAAATAGAATATAGAATAAATTTTACGGTAAGAACTAAAAATAATATTTTAACTTTTTATTAAAAAATACTACAAATTATTAAATTAAAAATACTACAAATTACCAAATTAACCTTTATCCGACTCGCCATTTTCATTGCTTAAATCAATAGTTATGTTATGTTATATAATTTATGCTAAAATAGTTAAAACAAAGTTAAGAGGGTGTGTTGTGTATTGTGTTTGAGATAGTTTTATGCGATTATACATGACTCTTTTTCCAGCTCAATAACTATGAGGGGGAGAATTTAATCTTCAATACTTAACGTAATTGATGTCTTATCTATTAAGTTATGCTTGAATTAACAATTTGATATCACGAAGATAAAATATGTTATATCTTTACACTATTATGTCTTTCTGTTTAGGATCACCATATTGTTTTTCTTTCATTTTAGTTGTTTTTGAATTGATGCCTGGAATTGGCTGGTCTATGAAGTGGATTCATATCATATACATGTCTTGGATGTTGAGTTACTCTGCAACTTTTGATTTGAGTGAGAATTGTAAATATAAGAGCACTTTTCTGAAACAATCAATTTCTACAAAGCAAAACATGATTCCCCAAATCTTCATTCAAATTCAGTTTGAATAAATTTGAATAAATTCTTACACTCATCCGTAAAGGACCCTTTCCCTTGGTAGCTTTACATCAAAAATCCAAAAATATAATACAACCAACTAATTTAATTTTGTAGACCTAGGTTAAAAACATTTCAACAGTGCATTCATCAAACATTTTTCACCTCTCGGATAACTGCGGCCTTCCTTTCATTTTCATTTTGTAAATCTCAACCGATGAATTTTATAACATGTTAAAGAAGTCATAACTCAACTTGTAAAGACATATCTTCTTGATCAAGAAATGAGGGATTCGAACCCCATTTCAACCAGAAAAGTAAAGTTAAAACTTAAATGAAACAAACACACAACTCTCGATCAAAAAGAATCCACAGAGCATGGACAGCGCGCAAGTATATGATACCAGATATTACTGCTAGTGATCCATTCAGCCATTCGATACAACAAGTTTGAAACACCAAAACAATGCATCAAACCTGCATAAACATTCATTGATAACGAAGGAATAAAACGATGGAGCTTGAATTAATGGTTCGTTGATAACGAAGCTCTTCATAACAAATTATACAATTTTCGATAGTAACTAAGGCACATAACAAGCATCCAAATACATTGGGGAGGGGGATCCATAGCTTACTCCTAACATAACCTTCCTATCAAAAATCCCCTCTCCATACTTTACATTCTAAACATCCTCAGGACAGTAAAAAAGGCCTGTTTCTTTTTTCTTGCATTTCACCTACGGTTAATAACTTATTAAAGAAAAAACTTTCAGTAACTTAAAAAGAGGAAAAAGAGAGGATAAAACCTGCTATGCAGCAAAAGCACCAAGTTCGTCCGACTTTGAGCAATGGTTTGCAACAACTTTCATCCAACTGTATTTTTTGCTTTTCCCTTATTGCTTCTTCCAATTTTGACCTTTGATTGAGCCTTGTTTAATTCAACATCCACCATCCTCCCCCACTTCCAATTCCATCCCAAATTGTTCTTTTCCTTTTTCTTTTTTTTTTTTTCCTTTTCCTTTTTCCTTCCCATTTTCCAAAATTAGAACAGTGCCCACAAATCACAACATGGTACTGAATACTATGATGTCTTGATTCCCACCTTCAGATTTCGTAGACGTTACGAGAACTTCACCGTCGCCTGAAGAAGAGGAAGTCGGGGTGGTTTACTTGGCGTTGTCTTAACCAATCCTCAGCATCCTGCAAAAGTGACTTTGCCAATTGCCACTCGTATCTGCCATTTGGAGTCCATAAAGACCCTCTAAACTTGTATGAAGCTAGACCAAAAACTGGCAGTGACATCTTAGGGATACCATCTATCTCACTGGGATACGTTAGTACAGGACCTTGTACACTGCGTCCCCCTGAAAATAAAATAAATGAAGAATCAGTACCAAAAAAATTTAAGATGTAAGATGTGAAGAGGCCAATCATTTTATCAACAATCTGGATACAACTTGCCCACATGCAATTATATTTGTAAATTCGCAGAGTGGATTGGAGCACTAGAACTTGTTTTAAAGTTACAACCATGATGAGAAAATTAACAGTTTATTACCAGCTTATTACAAATGCATACGCAACAAAATAACAGCCAAGCCATAGACAAAAGCCAGAACTTATTGGATTAGTGCACGCTGGTTTGTGTCAAAACAGTTGCAATGTGCGGGCCAAATCTTCTATATATAACTTGGTAAAATATAAACCATTAGTCTTTTGTTCTTAAGATACCAAGTCATCCATGAATACTTGAATGAAGAACATAAATTTATAAACGAAAACCATTTTAACAGAAAATCGGAGACCAATCTCCAATAAAAGTTGGCGTAAATAACAAATACAGACAATAAACTTAGCAGTGGAATTTGTATTCCTTAAGATGGTTTCAGTGAAGAAAAATATGAAAATGAAGTTGTGAAACATAATAGAGCGTTGCTACACAAATAATCCCTAATTCCAAGCATTGTCAAAGTACTGTTTGAAGCTGCCATCAACCTCAGTTAAGACAGTAGAACAGAGAGACAGAAAAAGTCTTCTATATACATAAAGACAGGTAAAAACATTATGTAGCGCAAAAGAAAACAAGGAAATTAAATGAACTACACCTCCACACAAAATATTAGACATTTAAGAAGCAGAGACAGAAATAGACTACCTCCCATTGGCGTAGACAAATAATGAAAGGTGAGGAAGCAGGCATCCAGATCCTTTAATGTTGGTCCAGTTGGAATCCTGTAAATTGGATACCTAGAAATGAACCACCAAAACACAATAAGTGATACATGCAAGTAAGGAAGTGTCCAATTAATCCAATTAGCTTCAAGGCTTGACAGTACCATGCCACAGAAAACCAGCTGGAAGGCAATAGATCACAACTTCGTAATGTCCTGAGCTCAGGGAACTGGAAGGCAAGATCTGATATCTGGAGAAAATATACTACAGTAAGGGTTATGAGGGATAAAAGGCAAGGATTTATGTATTTTATTTTCTTCTGATTTCAACAGGGGAAAGGGTTCTGTTTAAGCATTTACATGCCTTATCTGCTAAAGGTTCACGACTATAAGGCAAATCCCGTTCAAGATGCTCAAATAGTAGCTGGCCTTGAGGATTAGGAGATTCAGCCTCGTCACTAGAACAGTCTTCTTGAAGTCCAATTAGCTGGTCCCGCAAAGATATCCTATCCATTCTACGAGAAAGCTCAGAAGATAAGTTGTGATGATTGAGTTGTTTCTCCATGTATTTTAGAGCTCGTTCAGCTTCTGAATCACTACTACCATCACTACTAGAATCTCTGAAATCACTATCACTGTCCTCACCTGGTTGCCTACATCACATAGAAAAGTCCATGCTAAAATACCAAGTATTCAGTATATTGAGTACCAACTCAATGTTAAACTTTAAACACTTATTTAGTGAATCAAAATACGCTATCCTTCAAATTGGTCCAGTGAACTTACGCAAGGCTTTATTTGGTTAATTTTTACATCAAACCAGAGAGAATTTATCATAATCTGTCAATAAAATAATGCTTGGTTTTTACCCCTTCACCAGGCTGCATGATACAGAATAAGGCAATCTACTTCAAACTGCATCAAGTGACCTTTCAATTATTCTTAGATAGGTTACAAACTTTTGGTTAGCTAATTAAAATATTAATTCTCGGATTTAAGAACATTTATTATTATTATTATTATTATTAGAGAATTATTTTTAAGGTTATAAGTTACCATTAGCTAGTGATCATTACGGTATTGATGAACATGAGAGTTACAACCTTTCAATTGACCATAAGTTACTCTCAGGTTTACTTTCAAGGTTATAAATAATCATTCATTTTGTTGCTTTAATAGGAAGATTTTGGATATTAAAATGAAAGTACCCTATTATGCATTTTAGGTCATAAGTTTTTTACTTGAAATTTCTTATGTTTAGATTTACATGCTAGAGTCATTCAAGTAGCCTTGATGAAGCTATCTTGTGGAGTGATTCGAATCATGAGTTTAGAAACGAGTTTTTTTTACTCTTGATCTTGACCATCAAAGTAATCCGTTCCAAAATTTTCCCTTGGCTTGATTCCTTATCGTTTTTGAGATTCTTGGATAATTTATAAATAAAGGTCTTATTCTTCCTAGACTGTTAGATTGAATCCTCAAGTGTTACATAACATATATTGCCGAACTTAATACAATTTATAACATCATCGAACCAAATATTAGCTATCAACTCCTCAGTTCTTTTGCCCAAGAAACATTCTTGAATAGTTCGATAATCTTTCTAATGATTGGATCAAGAATACAAGTATGCATGATATGAAAAAACAAAAAAGACATCCACAGAAATTGACCCTCACTTGAACATTTGGCTATATTTCACCAATAAATTCATCAAAACAGCTTATCAGAAATAATTTAGAAAAAAAAAATGCAAGAATTGTACAGACAAAATTTATTTCCAGTTAACGAGAATACCTTAACTTTGCAGAGGACTTCAAGGATTCACCATATATCTGTATACCGGATAAATATGGTACATAATACTGGATAACACTGTCACTGTCGTTTAGTACAAGAGGCACACCTGCACCATAAGCACTCCATTCCTTAAAAGACTCCCACAAATCACCTAGGACAAAGTATGGTTGAAATTCTCCGTCACAGGTTCTCCAACCCTTTACCGTTGTCTGCAATGAAAACAAATGAAGACCATATCAGAGGAACAGTTAACTATTGGGATCATTAATTGAGACTTTAAAGTTGATACTAGCTATGAAAAAAAAAAAAAATAACCCTCATTCGCTGATCCTTCATAAACTTGAGGCGATAGAAAAAGGAAAGACATTAAAATTTCAACTGCAATCTGTATATTATCCCTCGAAGCAATTCCCACAACCAAACTAGCTTTCTTCTTCGCATAATCCCTTATTTGTTATATGGTTCAGAATTGAACCGAAAACTCAAATATCAATCCGCTTATCAGAATTAGGAGGGCCATACTGATAGCCGCAAAAGGTAAAGACTTAAAACATTTGATAATCGACTTTTTCACACTAAAGAAAAGAAAACATTAGCAAATGGAAGAGAAACTTCCGATCGATTCAAACCTTTGAGAGGTACTGTGCAGGTACAGATGGCGCGATAGACTGCAAAAACCGCTGCAGATTACTCAGCGACGATACCACTGGCTCAAAGGCCGACATCGAAATAGATTTGGGGAGCTCATCACACGCATCTCCGCTCTCGGTTTCTCTAGTCACCGAGGAGACCGTAGTCGGTTTAACCACAGGAGATTGACCTGCAGAAACGTCGCTCTGAGCTCTACGGAGCTGATCATTTTGACGTCCCTGATGCACCTTACGAGCTTTCGTCGAATTGTAAAACCTATCATCACCACAACCACGACCAAACTGCAAGCCAGCACCTAACATTATATTTCGAAAACCAAACGAAAAACAGCTCCGGAAAATCGCAATCCGCAGTCCTAAAATCCACAATAAAAGTCAAGGAAATGCACAAAGTAACAATCTCGCTAAAAACCAATCAGATTGGAATCAAAATCCCGAAGCACAGAAGAGTAACGATTGATTGCGAGATAGAATCAAACAGGCAATCGGGTTCCAAAATGTGAGAGAGACGAAAACAGAGCCCTCCTGTGTTCGCCAAAAAATCCAGGCAAATCGAATCGGAGAAAACAAGTTTGAATGCAAAAACCTTAAACAGATTGAGACGCAATGGATCTAAAACACAGAACGAGGGTTTCAATGGCGTCGTGGAAACAGAGAGAAGAAAAGAGAGCAATGGAAGAGAAAAGGAAAGAGATGGAAGCGAAGCAGTACGCTGGTTTTTCCAAGGAAGAAAATAACCACTAAATTGATTTTAATATCATTTTATTTTTTGTTATTTATTTTATTTATTTGAAAAATACATATTTTTAATATATTTATATTTAATGGATAATATTATGGCCTACCCCCAACCGTCTTCAAGCAGTCAAAATGGGCGTCCTATTAAAATTATGATGAGGAGTAGTAGGAGTTTTAAATGGAATAGATAAGATAGAATGTCGACTAAGGCCAATCAAGTAAATGATTTTACTATCGATATGACTAGAAGATTTGTGTTATGCATGATGACACATGCTCAGTGGCCCTACATATATCATATGTTTGACATGTGTGTTTGTGTTTGTGATATGATATGTTGAATGATATGATATGCTGCATGACATGATATGTGGTATGACATGGTGTATAGTACAATATGACATGTTCTGATATGATATGGATTGTTCATGATATGCCTACATATGTTCAGCAACATTATAATACAAATAGATGTCACATTATATCGGAACGAATTATGATAAGCTATGAAGTGTCATGATATGCTGTAACATTTATGACATGCGAGAAATATTTTGAGATTAGAAGCTTTAGGACAAACAACTCAGCATAATGTGCGTTCACATGCATTGAGATATTTTTCCTTATAATGAGTAGAGACGCGTACGTTACGAAAAGGAAAATGATCATCATGTTTAACATGATGCTACGACAATCGCTATTCCTTTTGGATGTCCAACAACAGCACCAAAGACACTAGCCCAACTAGTATGATGCCCATGGGGTGTGCGAACTGCCTATTGGATCCATATTTGCATGTATGGGTCGTGTGTAGAGTAGTAAATACACATTCGATGATCCGGACTAGAAGGCCGCTTAAGAGAATACACTTTAAATGATAGGTCGCATTCATGTTGCTTGTGTTTGCATTCCTAACCTCAACAGTGGGGTCACTCAGTGCGTATTTCTAAAAACACATGCTACTTTTATATTTCAGATAAAGGCAAGACACTCCTATATGGTTGACGACTACATCACATCAAAGACCGAGATAAATCCCCACGTAGCCCTCCTTGCAGGTTAAACGATCTTTTCTTGAAATATATATATATATAATATAGTCTTATAAATTAATTTTGTATTAAAGAAATACAATTATGTATGAATGAGTTGTTTGTACAAACGTAAATTTTACCAAGTGACATAGACTTAAATGTTTTTGTCTCTTAGCTCTTTTTTTTCATCCATATTTGGAATTACATTTTCGGACAACCCATTTACATTCATTTTACCAACTACATTTCTAACTATACCTTTTCACATTGGCCACATATTTAACTATTAATTTATAATGCAACTTCTTTTTTATTATTATATAAAACTTTAATTTATTATATATTTAATCAAAATTATATCCAAAATTATATTTTTCTTGCCATAGGTATGAATTTATTTAATTTATAATTATTTTATTAATTACTTATTCTCCCTAAACTCTTTAGATTTAGATGGTAATTTTTAAAAATATATATTAAAAATTAATTGCAAATTTTAATTAAATGTGAAAATAAATAAACCCATGTCTTAAAAATTAATATTTTAAATTTAATAAAAATAAAAATTTGAATAAATAATGATTCGTAAACTTTAACTTAAAAAAATTTATAATTTGATTGATTTGCCTTCGTAATTTAATTTAGGTTAAAAAAATTTACCCAAACAATTACAAAATCAACTTTATTAATTATATGTATATATAAATATATATTAAAAAGTTGAGGCCAAAATTAAATATATTTATATACAAATTCTCTCTTCGTAGCATATTTTATATAAAGTATGATTAATACTTAAAAAATTATTAATCTACGTGGAGGTTAAGAAAAAATGGCTAAATCAACCAAACTCCCATTTTTTTAATATATTAAATACTCTTTAATTCCAATTTTCAACTCACCTATCAAAATCGATCACAAATTGTTTAGTTAAAAATGTTTTTTTCTAAATTTAATTTCATATAATTTTAATCTTTTAACTCCCAATAACCTAAGTTTTTTTCTAAAAACAATATATTTTAAAGGTTTAAAATATTGATGCCAAAAAAATATTCAGATAAAATATTAATATTGACAATTTTTTTAAAAAAGATATATAAAAAATAAATAAATCCATAAACTTTTATAATATTATATTTACATCATGTTCATGATTATTCAAAAATAATTTTTTTTGTGGGAATAAAATGGACTCTTAATTCTTATTTTTATCTGGTTGACCTATTATATTATGGTATTCGTTGCGTTATTAATAATGATTTTGTCGTGTTTTATATATATATATTATTTATTTATTGACAAATTTTCTGATAAAATTTAGAGTGCTAAGTTTCAACACTTTCAACCTTCATTCATTATCGTCAAAAAGAAAGAAAGAAAAAGGGAAAACTTTCATAGACATCCACGTTTTAATCTATGGGTACCGGCCTAAAGTGAGAAAAGTAGACTTGGTAAAGGACTTTTTCAGGGGTAAAAAGGTAACCTCTCTTTCAATTCAAAGTTTGAAGGGACACCAAAACAAACAAACAAACAAACAAACAATCTAATGTGTTAACGTTATGTAAAACTATATTTTGATCGCATCAATATTTTAAGCTCCCTTGTCGACCTTGACTTGAGGCCAAGGTTAACCTACCTAAGGATCAATTTCATATGAGGTTCGTGACTAGTGTCACAATCGTACTTTTTCAACCGTATGATGCCATAATCTTGATATGCTCATGATAAACCTTGAGGGGAACTCAAGCCTCATCTGACTTTGTGGCTTCATAGGATCTTAGATGAGATTTGCCTTTGCCAATCAAATACAGCTTGTGCAGAATCCAAGTTTATTCAGTTACACATGTTGCCCGTGCGTGCATGTTCAATCGTCTGCGACTCTAGTTGACTTGCCTTTACATCAGACCAAGTCATCCGACTTGACCTATCTGCTTTAGACCAAGGTCTCTCATGTGCAACGTCGCATCTCCATCATCATCTTGGTTCCCATCGACCAACCCATGCTTTTGTGAGGTCATCCCATGTCTCGAGATAACTCGGCCATCTTGGCTTGCTCAAACATGTCTATCAGACCAACTCATGTATTGTTCATCTCATCAGGACATCCTAAACATTCATTCATCTAGGTTCTCATCAATGCATGAACCCTCCTGTGTCTATGCTTAGTCATTTACGGAATCCATATTGGATAGCAGGTGCATATACCAACCTTTGGGGATAGGGCGCAATGTCGACACACCCATATTGTCTGACACGATCATGTAACAATTGTTACAGTTTGGCTATGGTGCCAACTGTCCCAATCATATTCTTCAATCTGTGTGCTGTCACGATTTTATCATGATCATAACCAAACTCTAAGAAAAATTCAAGCCCCATTTAAATTTTTCATCAAGCTTTGTGATTTTGTCAAATCTAGGTTCTCCTTCATCAACCAAACATAACTAATACAAAAACTAAGCTTCATTCGACCTTTCCTCTACACTAGGTCAAGGTCCTTCAAATGCAATATCACATCTCATTTGTCATTGTGGTTTTCAAAAACACGCCCTACACGCTTCTACATCACTGTGTTTAAACCCTTCATTGGGTCAAAACAACCTTAACATTCTCAACTAGAGTTTATAGGTGATTTCAACACTTACCGGGACCTATCGAGGCATTATATCGCTTATTAGTACATATTGGCTCAATATAATGTTAATCGAGAACTCTTAAGTCCCATCGATGCTTCATGATGTCATCCCAAGACCTTAAATGTCATTGGCCTTTGCTACTCGCTACGATACACTCGAGAACCGATCCATTAGTCAACTTTTATAATCGAGACATCTCAGACATCCATCTATTTGAATACTATTGAGGCATGAACTCTCCCGTATCCATGTCGAGTCATTTTTACTTACCATATTAGAGAACGACTGTATATATTGTGTTTGTGAAGAGTCGAAGGACATCAGCCAATTAAGTAGGGTTGGATGTCACGGTCTAGTCGCATGCCCATTTTAAATCCTTTTTAATTGTGTTCATGTATAGTTAAGTCTTTACTTTTACATCTAGTCGAGAATAGCATGGATATCCGTAAAATGTCCCAAAATTGACCAGAGAGAAAAGAAAATTCCTAAGTGCCATCAAAATCGTGTTCAAATTCCGGTCTTCAATCATTTACCATTTTTTTCAAATTCCAAGGCCTCTCTCTCTTTCTCTCTCTGTAACTCCAAATACGCACACGATCGATTCGATTCATTCTTAACCTTTTTCCATGGCGTCGCTTCTCAAATTCAAGCTCCTCCCGACCCACTGCGGCGTCGCTCAGAGTCCCACCTTGAGCCCTAGGACCAGCCCTCTCGTTCACCTCCGCCGCCGCAAAACCACCCTCCGGATGCTCCTCACTCGGAATTCCGCCCGCCGCCGCGCCTTGCCGGATAAGAAACGAGACGACCACAAGGATTTATCACGGAGCAACACGTTGAAGGATTTGTTCGTGTCGTCACCGCCGTATGATGAATCCGACGGCGAGATTAACGAGACCGTTGCGGCGGCTCCGATCCGGAACGTGACTCCGGTTTGTAGGGAGGAGGATGGTGAGATTGGACCGACCGGTTGGCATCCAGGTTCGCCTAGACCGGGTTGGACCGGTTTCCGATACAAATACTTGCTCCGGAAAACCTGGCGGCCACTGCTCGCCGGAATCCCCGAGTAATGGATGTTTTTTTTTTCCTTCCTTTTTAACCCGTTCTATAAATGATTTTTTTTATAAAAAATTATGTGATAAATATTTCTCTGTGTTTTTAGTATAGTTTAAAATTTTCTTTTAACTTAAAATAGGGATTAGGGAAAGATTAAGATGTTAATTACAACGGGTTTTGAGAAATAATTTGTTATATGGAAATGATTTTTGTATCTGAAATTCTAAATAGATTTTTGTTTGATGGAGGATGATAGTCCCACCT